GATTTCAGGTTTATTATTATACATTATTACTAAGTAAATTCCCTAACTGTAGGTGTTGGAGTTAGGTGCCATCAAGTCAGTCCGACTCACAGTGACCTGATGCATAACAGAATAAAGTACTGCCCAGTCCTTAGGCTCAGTGACATAGGGTCAGCTCTGGATTGCTAACCATGAGGTCAGCAGTTCAAATCTACCAGCTGTCCGTAGGAGAAAGATGAGGCTGCCTGTTTCCATACAGATTCCAGGGTTGCTATGAGTGAGAACCAGCCCCACAGCACTTATCAACAACAGTGAGCCGAAATGATTTGATGGCAGTGAGTTTGGTTTTATGGAGGAAAAAGGGTGGCAGGGACCACAGCGAATGAGGCCTGCTGTCTCTAGGATGTCTGTGGGATGTCTGCAGCCCCAGAGCGCCCTCCTCAGCAGAACGGAGCTGCATGCTGAGCCTGGTGGCTCCCAGTCTAGATTTGGGGAATGATGTTATCAGGCACCTCACGAGCTCACAGACCAGCTCTGTTGCAGCAAAGGTCACCCTAGGGGACAGACAGTTGTCCACCTCCCCTCCTTCCCACCAGCAGTCCTACAGGTGCTTACCAACTACTCCAGTTGGGAGCAGAGCCAGGGGGCAGGCTTGAGCCAGTCATTTCCATCGAGAGAGCCCTGGGGGCCAGGTGCCTGCCTGTGCCCCACCCCTGGCCTGTGGTGGACCTGGCTGTCCAGAAGGCTGGGCTGCCCAGCACAGAATCTGGAGTAATTGGTGATTGTGTTCTCAGGCCCTGTCCTGCTGCTGACCAGTGATAACATCAAACAGCGCCTGGGCTCTGCTGCTCTGGACAGGTATTCGTTCTCCATGGGCCCTACAGGAAGGCAACATGAGGTTACTGTCACCAAGCCTTACAGTACAGCCTCATTGTCCCTGTGCCTGGCTGACACATGGGCCCGGGGGTGGAGGTGGGGTGGCAGTAAACTGTCACCATGTGTGTAGGCTGTGGACACAGGAGAAGGACAGGGCTGGTGGGCAGGGTTCAGCGACCATAAGCAAGAACTCGAGTAGTGGTCAGTTTGACCCATGTCCAGGCCCCAGGGGTAGAAGAGTATTAATGTTCCCTCCTTCCTACATATATTATGGGCTGGTGTGGGTGACTTATACTTCAGGAGTGTCCCTGCCTCTCCCAGGCCTCAACCTCATCTTCATCACCTGGGCAGTTCTCAGCCCCTGGTCTCAGTACCTAGGATCTGTAGGACTCTGCCCCTCCCCCACCACCCTCCGGTCTCCGGTGCCCCTGTGTCCTACTGATGAACATTGGGTTTGTCTGTGACCGCCAGTGTCCACGAGTACCGGCTTTCCAGCTGGCTGGGGCAGCAGGAAGACATCCACCGGATCGTCCTCTACCAAGCAGACAGCACACTGACACCCTGGACCCAGCGCTGCATCCGGCAAGCCGACTGCATCCTCATCGTGGGGTTGGGTGAGCAGGAACCCACCGTGGGCCAGGTGAGAGGCCTGGGGCCGAGCGGGACTGTGAGGGGGCAGATGCAGTGGGCAGGGTGGGGAGCTCCTGGGAGTGGGCCTGTGGGCGGGGCCGTGAGCAGAGCAGGGGGCAGGGCTAGGGTGGTGGGCGGGGCCGACAGCACTCAGGCCCTTCCTCCATGTCTCTGGGCGCTACCCGCCCTCAGCTGGAGCAGATGCTGGAGAACACTGCGGTGCGGGCCCAGAAACAACTCATCCTGCTCCACCGAGAGGACGGCCCTGAGCCGGCCCGCACGGTGGAGTGGCTCAACATGCGCAGCTGGTGCTCTGGTCACCTGCACCTGTGCTGTCCACGGCGCGTCTTCTCCCGGAGGAGCATGCCCAAGCTGGTGAGGCCCGGCCCGGCCCCTCCAGACCTTGCCCGAACAGTCCAGACAGTTGGCATGGTTGCTCCCAGGACCTCCCCTCCCTAACGGTGCGAATGGCAGCCAGCCTGGGCACCCTCAGGGTGGCTCCGGACCAGGCGCTGAGGAAGCTGACCACAGGCACGTCGTCATGGAGGGGGCTTGACCTCGCCCCCTCCCGCCATCCGCTCTCCTTGTGCAGGTGGAAATGTACGAGCGCGTCTTCCAGAGGCCGCCCGACCGGCATTCGGACTTCTCTCGCCTGGCGCGGGTCCTGACCGGCAACGCCATTGCCTTGGTGCTCGGGGGAGGGGGCGCTAGGTGAGTCCCCAGCCTCCGTCCCTCCAGGATCCTCCCTGGGTTTGGCTCCTGGCGGCCTGTGTGATGGTAACTGCTGAGCTTAGGACACAAAGTGCTCTCCTGTTGCAGAGGAAGAGTCCTGGGTCGAGGGTGGTCTCCGTGCCCTGGCATTGCCCCCACAGCGCAGCAGATGTGGGTGGTACATTCTCCTCAGGGTCTAACTCCTGCCTCCTTCTCAGTGTTTGCTCACTGTTTGGTGGGACGGTTTTGTTTGCTTGTTGCGTTTGTCTTCTCTTCTGAAACCCCTCTATTCTTATCCCTTGCCAGTCTTCCCGCCGGGTTCTGGGTGAGTTCCTTTTTGTTTTTCATATACATATGTGGATGAATGAAGCCTTGGTGTGGCGCTGTGGGATAATGCACTGGACTCCAAGGTTGGTTTAAATCACAAGGTTGCCAGTTCAAATTCACCAGCCGGTCCTCAGAAACCCTATACAGGGTCTCTATGAGTCAGAACCAACTCAACGACACTTAACGACAACAAGAAGATGAATGCTGCTTCTGACCAGAGTGTGCCTTACAGCTGCGCTCTGGGTCCAGGCTGGCCAACCTAACAGGACCTTCCGCCCCAGTAAAGCCCTTCTAACTTGTCTTTTCAATGCCTGCCACCCTTTCCTTAAAATTCCATAAGAGAAGTGCCCTGTGGGACAGAATTGGGGCTGATGTGAGATGGGGCATCCCGGGCCAGGTCTAGTGCTGCCTCAGCCCCCAGTCTGGACCCCCGGCACCCACTTCCCAATCCTTGGCTGTATTAGTGATGCACATGGGTGCCTAGCTATGCCCCTGCCTCAGTAGTCCTTGGTCAGTTCTCACTGGGGAGGTAGCTCTAGTTGGGAGGTCAACGCAACCCCCAGTAGAAAGGGGCTCTGTCCTCAGCAGCTTGAGAGAATTCACAGCCAAATACCATGTGACCTTGTCCTCCCCATTCCAGCTGGTCCAGGGGGGAGCAAGGGCCGTGTCATGGCCTCCGGGACACACTCTCAGGGTCCCATCACTTGGGACTAGTCCAGGGAGGACAGCTACGTCTGCCCACGGGGGCTCCAGGTGGTTGAGGGCCTGGGCTGGTGCGGATGAACTTAGAGAGGGGTGGTAAAGTGGCTCTGCCCCCTGGACTGGGCCGCACCTTTTCCCCAACGAGTTCTGTTTGACCGGTGTGCTCAGGTAGCAGGTGCGCTGCTTTTCCGTCTTCGAGCCCTGAGTTGTAATGTAAAAGCATGTCTTGTCCCTGAGGGAACTGGCCTGGGCAGGGAGACTGCCCACGTCGTGGCTCGGTCACCTTTCTGCCGGGTGAGCAGGGAGAAGATGCAGCATGAGGGGTGGGGGGTTCTATGGTCAGAGCAGTGGGGGCACTGACAGGGTCCTGGGAAATGCTGAGGATCCTGGGAAATGCCCAGCTCCGCAGCAGTACTTAGCTGGCAAGGTCTCTGGTTCTATAAAGCGGCCTGTACCCCCATCCCATCACCGAGTCCCGCTGCCCAGGGAGGCCCCTGGAGTGGCTCGGCTAGCTGCTCCTCGGCTCTGCCTTTTCTACACTCATTCCTGGTCTGCAATTTCTGTTTGTTCATTTCAGCTTTAGATTATTCTCCGTAGCATACACAGAGTGTCTGTGTGTCTGTCTCTCTTTCTCGCTCAGGGTCCCAGTTGTCACTGTCCATGTTTGATGACAACATAGTTCTCATTCCTAGCTACGTCACATCCTGTTGTAGACTGTAGTAAGAATTCTTTCCTTGGAGATCATAGTTGTTGCATTTGCCGCCTTCTGTGTGTGTGTTACATATGGCCCCTGGATGATCTGTGTATGGTGTCCCTGGGTGTGTGTGTGTGTGTGTGTGTGTGTGTGTGTGTGTCATGTTTACCTTCTTCCCGGGAGTGCTCCCTAATGCCTCTGGTCTTTTCTGGTCTCTACTCGCTGCTTTCACTGGTTGTCTGCACCCTGGTGACCTTGACCTCAGGGGTGGGGTTTATTGTCATACTTCTTATTACCACTTTAACCCCCCCTTCTCTGTCCTCTCTTACTGGATCGTCTAGTGGTTGGATATTGGGCATCCTGGTCAGACCCTTTAATGCTCGTATCTTTTCTCACCCTATGAGTATTCTTCATCTCTGTCCTTTCGTCCTGTTGTTTTTGTTACGTGTCATCGAGTCAGTATAGTGTCTGACTTAGAACGACCCTGTGTAGAGTTTCCGAGGCTTTAAGTGTTTGCAGGAGCAGAAAGCCTCCTTTTCCTTCAGCAGAGTGGCGATGTCACTTTAGGGACTAAGTGAGCCTGACCCAAGCCATGGTATTTCCCATCACCTCATATGCGTGTGAGAGCAAGACACTGAATAAGGAAGACCCAAGAAGAATTGATGCATTTGAGTTATGATGTTGGCAAAGACTATTGACTGTCTGCACCATGGACTGCTGGAGGGATGAGCAGATGTGTCTAGGAAGACGTACAGCCAGCATGCTCAACAGGAGTGACCAGCTTTTATGTAGATCCCGTTGGGTTCATTATATACACAATACGTCACCTGAGAGCTAGGGAGACTGTCTCTTCACTGGGTAGGACCTGTAGTACAATGTGGATTCGAAGTGATAAGAGAAGAGATCCTAAGCCTTTCTCAGTCATATTTCAGGATTAGTGTGTTGCTTGACACCACTTGTTTGTCACTTTGTTGTACTTTGGTGAATGCTATAGCGCCGTGTTCCAGATGCCAGTGGAATCACACATGATGGACAGGTTGCAGTGGACTTCTTACACTAAGATAGACTGGAAGGAGGACCTCATGAGCTACTAGAAACACTGGCCAGTGAAAACCTTATGAACAGTTCTTGCTAAGTGCTGTCGAGTTGGTTCTGACTCATACTGACTCCATATAGGGTTTCTGAGGAACAGCTGGTGGATTTGAACCACCAACCTTGAGGTTTAAACCAACTTTGCAGTACAGTGCTTATCCTACAGCTGTATGTAATTATCGAGTCCTGGTGTGGCTCTGTAGGATAAGCACTGGACTGCTAACCACAAGGTCAGCGGTTCAAACCCACCAGCTACTCCTCAGAAGCCCTCTACAGGGTTGATACGAATTGGAACTGACTTGATGGCGCTCGACAGCAACAACAATGTGTAATTATAATGATTACATGATTATAAGCAGCAGAGAACCGTTTTGAAATCTTGGTATAGCGCTGTGGGGTAAGCACTGGACTGCTAACTGCAAGGTCGGCAGTTCAAACCCACCAGCTTGGAAACCCTATCCAGGGTCATTAGGAATTGAAACCGCTTGGAAGGCACTTAGAAAATCGCACAGCTCTTTGAAGATCATTATCTGACAGTCTTTGTTTTTTCATTATTGTATGAAGGGACTTCAAAGTGGAGTGAAAAGAAGAATTTTTCCACAAACTTTTTGAAGCCCCCTCCTTTTAGTCGGCTTTTATTTCTTGTAATCCCTGATTGGTTTGGGTATAAATATACCATCTTAATATTTGCTTTCTCTTTGTCTCATATGTTTTAGGTTCTTTTTTCTGTCCCTTTCTTTCTTTTGAATGTATTGTTTTTAAAATTACTCCATTTTTATCCCCTCATTTGTCTATTGGTTATATAAGCTTTTACTGTTTCTTAGTAGTTACTTTAAAGATTAAGGAGCTCTGGTAGCATAGTGGTTATAAATTGGGCTGCGAACCGCAAGGTCAGCAGTTCGAAACTACCAGCTGTTCCGTGAGAGAAAGATGAGGCTTTCTGCTCCTGTGAAGATTTACAGCCTCGGAAACCCTGTCCAGGGTTGCTATGAGTCGGAACCAGCTCCACGGCACACTACCACCACCACCTTAGACATCACAACATGCATTTGGGGCCAATTAAAGGCTAACATAAATGAGTAATTGTCAAGCTTCCTAGATAATGCAAGGACCAAAGAACACTTCATTTGTTTTTATTCCCCCCCCCGTTATAAATGCCGGAACCATTTGGTGTGGTCCATTTTACATATATCTAACTGGTTCATATTCACTTACGTCTACCTGGTGTGTGTTCATGTGTGTCTACCCGGTACATGTTCACATATGCCTGCCTGCCTGGTATGTGTTCATGTATGTCTGCCTGGTATGTGTTCATATAAGCCTGTCTGGTACGTGTTTGCATGTGTCTACCTGGTACATGTTCATGGGTGTCTACCTGGTACATGTTCACGGGTGTCTACCTGGTACATGTTCACGGGTGTCTACCTGGTACATGTTCATGTGGGTCTGCCTGGTACATGTTCACATGTGTCTAACCCACACACTGACCATCCCATTGCCCTGTACTCTCCCCGCATCTTCAGGCTTTCCTATGGTATCTTTTGTTTTCACCTGGAAAATGCCCTTCCTATTTTTATGGCAGATCTGCTGGTGATGAGTTTTATCAGTTTTTGTCTGTCTGAAAATGTCCTGGATGTGCTTCTTGTGCGTGTACTGGAAAGCATGCTTTTGCTGGCTAGCATACTGTAGGTGAGCAGCTCTCTGTCTCTTCGTTGAACCTCTGAAGGCAGTATGTGTCTTTAACTGGCTGCTCTGTGTATCTGTTCTAGGTCTTGGATTTTTAACAACGCAGGAATGGCTTTCTACTTAGTTACCTTGCCCTGGGCTAGAATACTTCTTTAATTTGAAATTTGATGTCTGTCAACAGTATGAAAAAATCCCAGACCATTCTCTCTTCAGCTATTGCTCATCTGTTTTCTCCACCTGGAACCCTTTTATAACATACCCTGTGTGTCTCTTACAATCCTTCCGTATTTTCCATCCTTTTGTTGCTTTCTGGGTTCATCTCAGGATTTTCTTCTGGCCTTTCTTCTATTTCACTGTTTCGTTGTATTTAATTTGCTGCTAAACCTATTCATTGAGTTCTTCCTTTCAGTTATTGGTTTTTCACGTGTAGAATTCCCATTTAGTATTCTGCCTTATAGCTTCCAATTTTCTGCCAAAATTCTCAATCTTGTCTTTAATTCTTTTGACATTTTAAGCATAGTCATTTTAAAGTCTGTACCCCATGTCCCATTTGTTCTCTTGGCTTAATGTCAGGTGATGTTTTCTCCTCATAAAGCTGGTGATTTTCTGTTAAATGCTGGGCATTATAAAATATGATAATTGAGGTTCTCAGGAATAGCTTTCTCCAGAAAGGACTCAGTCTTCCTCTGGCAGGTGGCTAAGTTGGAGGTGATCCAATTTCTGTAACAATTAGAAGCTGGTTTATTTCCAGTTCGCTTAGTTCCTAGGATGTTGCCTATTAGGACGTTTTCCCAGACTCCTCCTTTCCAGTGGACCCTGAACACCAACTCTTGCTGCCCCCACCTAAGTCTGTCAGTGGGTCTGTTCAGCCTCATAATCCAACAGAAACTCCCTCTTTTCTCAGAAGCAAGGCCCAAGTGTTGGCTTGTTCTTCAGATGGCCTCCGTGCCCCATCTTGTCCCACAGTACTGCAGAGAGAGGATTGAAGTTGGATCTTGGGGAGGCTTAGCTCAAACTCCCCCTAAAGCAGTGGTTCCCATTATCTGTGCTTGTTCGAGGGCCAGGTGGTAGGGAGCAGGGGCAGTGTCCCTGTGGGCTAGTGGGTGGGCAGTGTCTCAGGGAACCCTCTGCCAGGGTAGTCAGGGTGCCGGGCCCTGACTGGGTGCCCTGATTTAGGCCTCACTTCCTGTTACATAGGGGCTGCTCCCAGGTCGGCATCATCCGGGCCCTGGCTGAGTCCGGTATCCCTGTGGACATGGTTGGAGGAACATCCATTGGGGCTTTCATGGGGGCCCTGTATTCTGAGGAACGAAACTATAGCCGAATGCGTATCCGGGCCAAGCAGTGGGCTGAGGTGAGAACAGGGTGCCAGGTGCACCCATGGTCCCCACCCCCACAGGTCTCCAGGTGGAGACTGAGTCAGGTTCTTCAATGAGTGATGGAATTGGGAGCTACGAATGAAGACAGGGTGGAGCTGGGGAGGGTCCTCAGGCCTGGCTGTATTTTCAGAACTGCTCTGGTAAGCTAGGAGTGGGGTCAAAGGTTTGCGTTCTCCTTCTAACAAGTGAAGAGTTGTTCATTGTCTACACCCCAGCGGCAGCTCCTACGGCGGGCTAGAAAGAACCCATGCTCCATCCCTGAGGGGCGTCACTGCTCCTCAGCCACCTGAGCAGGGCCACTGGGCTCAGGATGAACTTACAGGGACCTCATGTGTCCCCTACCCAGGACACAACATCCATGGCGAAGACAGTCCTGGATCTGACCTACCCGATCACCTCCATGTTCTCGGGTGCCGGCTTCAACAGCGGCATCTGCAGCATCTTCAAGGACCGACAGATTGAGGTGCTACCCCTGCCCCAGACTCCACAGCACCAACCAGGCCTCCTAGGGAACGCAGGCCTGCCCTGGAGCCAGGTCTGGGCCAGGGGGAGTCCACAGGACCCCTGCTGATGGTCCTGGTGCAGGCACGCCCCCACCTGCATCTCTTCTGAGCCCCCTTGTCCCTGCAGGACCTGTGGCTGCCCTACTTCATCATCACCACAGACATTACAGCCTCAGCCATGCGGGTCCACAGGGATGGTGAGGCTCAGAGCTGGGGGGCACAGGGTGGGGAGGGTG